ACCTAACCTGAAAATATGCCTTAATTTTTCCCATTGCTTTCAAACCATTATTAAAAAAAACCCACACTTACAATCGGTTTAATTTTAAGACTAACAACACTTCAGGAAGGTATTTTATCGGTTAAATTTTTTCCTCAAATACTGCACGAAAAGTGTATTTTGACACAGTTTCTTATTATTTGCCATCATAGAAAATTGTAACTTGATTTAAAAAATGTTGAATTATCTTGCTTAATGAACTTCAATTAATTTTTTCTAGTGAAATTGCTCGTCAACAAGCGTGGTAATTTGCACTGTGAGCTAAAAAAATAGTTATAATAAGGTCGGATAGCATCATGCTGTGTAATGAAATAATTTCAGGTCCTGCATTTAAAAAAAAGTATTATTCCCCGTCATGAAAACATGAGAAAAAGCGACAACACTACTTTTATCAGTACATCATTTGCGCGAAAAACTGTTCCTTGCTAGAGAATTAATGAGATTTCTCAAGAACTTTAACTAGGTCTTGCTTTTTATACGTATTTTTAATAGAGGAAAAAAATGAGTGAGAGGAGAGAACGGCGAGTAATGCGATCACTTAACGCGAAAACGGAAGTGCACAAAGTGATTTTTTGCCGCATCACATGGCACATTTGAAACGAAACGCGGATAAAAAATAAATAAAACAAACTGACTGGCTGACGGACGGACGAAGAGAACGAAGACCGCCGACGCGAAAACAATGCTCCGCGGCCGCTGCATATCCGGTGGTGCAATAATAATCACACACAGACACAAGCATTGCGACACCGACACATTATGCAACGACACGATAATGAGCCTCTTGTTTGACTTTATTGCCATACCTGCGGATGAGCGCGGATGAGAGAGAGAAAGAGATGAATAATATAATTATATTCATCTTTGAGGAGAAATTGACAGAGATGAGGAAAAATGAGGATGCCTAACCATAAAGGAATTTATGAGCAAGAATGTATAATTGAAACTTGAATTATGAAATTAAATAAATAATTTTTTTTATACATTTAATTTCGTTCTAGAAAAAAAAGATATCAAAGCAAGATTCAAGCGAAATTTAATTTGCATTGGGTCAACTTGATTGTACAGAAAATACAATTTTTTTTAGATAATGTAAGTAAAATATAAAACATCTCCTTGTATTTTAATCATTCAACTCCATTAAAGAAATGTAAATTACAACATTAAAATTGCAATAATATATAATAAATTATTGAATAAATTTTTTAATAAATTTTTTATGAAGTTTTAATCTTTATTAAATATAAAATGGGATGTTCTGTTAAATATTTTGTCTTTTTAATATTATTCAAATTTAAATATTGAGATTTGCTTTGGTACGAAATTAAGTTTATTGAAATTATTGACTCAACCTTTCAAAATTATCAGATACTAGTATTAATTAATTATAGTTATATTAATTGATTCTAAAATTTAGAAACTACGGTATTTATTTGTGATTGTTGCTATCATTAAGAACTGTCAAATGAAAATGACAAGAAAATAAAATTCTGTGATATTATAACGTATGCACGTCTTTCCTCAAGAATTATCGTGTGGAGGAGGCAAAATTTGTTTGAAAATATTTTATGCTAATTCAAAACATTCTAGAAGATTCTGTAAATTTTATGGTAATCTGACATTTACAACATCAGACATGGTAAAAATATTATTATTTCCCACAATCTTGGAAATTTTAATTTTAATCAATATTATCTATATTTCTTCAAAATTGGGAAGGCTTTAACAAATTTAGGAATAAATCTATTTCATTTATAATATTCTACTTGCTAAATTTTGCTCGCATTAATGTTAAAAAGCAATAGAGCACACGAGATTTTGTTTGACAGAGAATTTTTCAAGAAAATTATGGCACCATTTTAATAATATTTTTAGATTTTAAAATTATATAAACTTTTACAACACAAAAAATTCAATTCCTTATTATTGTCATTTCATTTTTCATTGGTAATTATCAAAAATTTCAAATCATCAACTCTAAAAAGAAAAAAACAATCTCATCCGTTTGCACAAACCAGGAAACGACTGCCTCTCATTTAAGTATGTATTTTCTTAACCTCGCCACTGTAATTCCGACGAACGCGTCTCTCATACATGAAAGTCAAATCAGATTGCACCTTGCTATTTCGCGTCCTTGAGATAAACAGCATTTCACACACTTTTATACACATACAATCATGCAAATGGTGCTCAACTCCGCACACTGCAATAACCAGTTCATATACACGAAAAAGAATGAGAGAGAGAGTAACAGGACTTGATAATTTGCAAAGAGTGCTCATTACCCACCTCAACATCGGTCATATCTGCTGCAAATCGAAACAATCAGTGCGAAAGTGAATTCGATTTTAATAACGTACCGCCCGTAATAATAACGCAACCGGCGAATGCTAATGGATGCTGGAATAATTTATTTATGCATCTCCGCTCATTTAAGTATACACGCCGCGCAGCAGGCACTTAATGAAGGACCTGCTTAAAGTTGTAATTTCGCCTCGGCCCCGGCCAAATGATAGTAATAGCGAAATAAAAGCCCAGAGCCGCGGGCCGCGGATCGTTATTCTCCCGACGCCTGGGCAATTACGCGCCTTTCAGCCAGAGATGCATCCAGACTAAATGATAATTTCGCAACTGCACTCGATTCTCTCTCATCCGTAATTGCACTTATTCGATACACTTTTTTCTGCCGATCTTCGCCGATTATTTGATGACGGGGTCGGAGTTGCTCGAGGAAACCACAAGTAGCGAGATTACATGCAAATCGTGAATTTATTACCAACTGCTACCGGGCGCGCCTCGTTCTCTGGCTATATTTTGCATTCGGATCGATTCGACGACGCCTTCTGCGGTCGGCCCGGCAGCCGTGTTCGTTCAAAGAGCAATCTGTGTAGCAGATCGAATTCGCTGCTACCGTATCTGCGGTGGTCGGCAATATTTTTCACTTTAAAAGATAATAATAAATTTTAGAAAACAAATATATTATACTTTTTTAGCAGACGTGCGGGTCGCCGACAGGTTGGAAAAAATGTTATCAGTTTTGGCCTTGGAGGTGAACTTTGTAAAAAGTTCATAAAAGGAACGTTTATCAAACGCGCGTTGGAGGCCAATGTTAAGCTGAATATGTTTTTTTTTTTAAACGTGAGCAACTGAGGTTGATAGCACCATTATTTCAACTTCCTGAGTTTATTTTGGAAATGTTTGGCATTGAATTTCCACGTTATTTTCAATGCTGGACACATGAATTTTTCAATTTATCAAAGAAAATTGAAGGAAATAAAATGAACTTTACAAATAAATTTACTAAATATCTTTTTTTTTTGTAAAGTAGTTTGGAGCTTCAAATTTTAATAATAATGTATTTTCTTTTGAAGGAAATTTTTGTCTAGAGAGAGGGATGAAAGAGTCCAACCCAATAGCCTATTATAAGCTAAGGAGGTTATAAAAAATTAATATTTTTTACAATTTGACAATATTAATTTTTTATACATGTCTGATGTTAGTGCATGCACTGCATTTTTTGCACTCTGAAAGCCTTGAATTTTAAAACAAACATTGTCATAATTCACTATTTTTCAACATTATAAATTTGTAGCAAAATAAAATTTAATTCAAAAGGAAGAGTGAGAATTTAAAAATCTTAAAAATTAGATTTATTTAATTATATAAAATGTCTGCTATTACAAGAACATAGATATTAGAAAATTATTCTATTTTAGCCTTTTAATTAATACACTTATTTTACCCAAAGTTTTGATACAAACAAACAATTGATTAGCAATTAGAATTTTTACTGTTTTTCTTTTTCAATTTCATTCAAGAGCATGATTATTAGCGTCAAATATCAAATTTGCTTTTTTAATGAATGACAAAATTTAATAGCAGGTTGAAATGTACTTTTTGTCATCCATTCCTATTTTCTCTTTTGACAATATATTCACTGAGCCCCTGACGAAATGCAGCCGTATGCAACCAGCCCGGTCGGTTCTCCCAACTGGTTGCATAGATACTCTCTCGCGGAAGGGGGTTAATCCGCACTGCAGAGAAAAAAGAAGCACTCGGTGGTCAGGCAAAAACAACAGACGCGTTCGTTGTTGCAAGGATTCGTTTATATGCATTATTTCTATACACAGTCGGACCGCTCTCAAAATAATACACACCGCGTGTATTCCACTCTCTGATAATGAGCTTTGAAGAAAAGAAATTGGCGTTGCATGCGGAACGAGCTGTTCACTCTTTTTTTATTACGAATGACGCTGCGCTGCGTTCACATGTCTGTCGTTTTCGCACAAGCCGGAAAAATCAATCGAAGAAAAGAAACATGAAAACAACCGTGTACAATTTATTTTACTCTGGCCTCTCACTATTATAAATTAATATAATTTAATATTTAATTGAAAAATTTATAATAATTAATGAAGAACTATTAAAATGGGAAAAATAAAAAATGTCTCAATGGATTCGGAGGAAAATGAAGAAAATATTTTAGAAAATCGATTAAATAATTTAAGTTACATTCGATGGCACTCAGGCAAGAGATAGGAATGAGCGACAAAAAAGTGCATTTTCCCACAAATTTTTTTAATAATTAAATAAGATACTTAAAGCAGTTTTTCGTTTTAAACATAAAAGTAGTGCAATTTGCAAGAAAAAATAGGAAACCTCTTAAATTTAAAATTTCCTTATTAATTATTCACACTTTATGTTTAAAATTAATTTCAAAAATTGACAAAAATTCATATTTCAAGTTGCAAAAAAAAATTGCCTCTTATGGAATTTTAAACGCATTTAAAATTTTGACGAAATTTCAACTTCTTCAAAAAAGCCTTGCTAGTGCCCAAATACCCTCATCAAAACCACCCCGGTGAGCATTAATTATGGTCACACTTCTTTTAAGGTTTCGGCGAGAAATTTAAGCGCGTATTATTAAGGGCGTCACTATATTAAGTGCGAACGAATCCTACCTTTTGCCGTTCCGCCGTCGTCTCTTGGTGGCGTACACGGTGCCCAGTTGACTGGAGGTGGCGCAGGGGGTGGCCTGGTGGGGCCGCATCGGGGGCGGTGGCGCGCCATAGTCGTGGTACAGGGCCCCCGTGGGCTCCTTCAGGGGCCCTACTACTGCTCCGCAGTTGGTCACCGCCAGTGTTAGTCCCTCGATCGCCACTGACTGAGCAGCCGGCGCGACTCGAACCCAGGAGGCGGCAGGTCGGGGGCGTGGCTCCACGGAGGCGGTGCAGCCGCCGCCAATCGGCGCCCGGAGGCGGCCCGACCGCGGCGGTGCCGCCGGCTTGGCACCGCCGATCGATTAGCATATTGGGGAACAGCATCTTGTTCGGTGCAGAAAAAGTGAGTGAGGAGTATTTGCGGTTTTGCCCACAAAAGCGACTCAATGGAAGCCGCTTAAGCATATTTTTCACTGCGGTTTTCATTTTTCCTTTTTATATTCATGAGTAACCTGAGGTATAAAATTGATCGCGCTAACTACAATTAGAGTAATAACTTTGATATGCTTTCTTCTAATTTTATATTCATTTGCCAATAGAAATATTAATTAATGCATATTTTTGCCTTCCACTTCTGTATAGAGAACTGAAACGTTTTGGATGCATTTTTTTACAAGCAATCCATCTTCAGACCACTGAACGCTTCCAATAAATTTGCATTATTTCTCTTGACTGGGTTAATTTAATAATTAAAAACAATATTCATGGTGATTTTAATTTTAAGTCGGCTTTTCCTCAATGGGTTTTGTGAGTCACTTATTGTTCAAGAAAAAAATATTTTCTGCTCTAAATGTTTCGCATGCGGGCTGGAACCATAATTCATGAGCTTTCTTAGCGGTGGTTGAAAGAAAAGACATGATCGTGAAATTCTACCACTAAAAAATAATAATATAAACATTAATAAATTGTTTTTATTTTAGACAATATGTACAAAATCGACAAACATTAATAAAAAATGTTCATATTTTTCTTTTTAGTTATTTATAAAATAATTTATAGATTATACTAAATTACAGATTATTTTGTTGTATATCATTTGAATTTGATTATTGTGCAAAGTAATTTTGATAAGGTAAAACAAAAAATAAATTTCTTCATCAGTCTATCTTCAAAATAATTTCCAAATTGATCAATTTTATTAATAAAGCTCGCTTTATTTTCCAGTGGCCTAACTCACTATAACTTTATTATTAGAAGTAAATTTTATATAAATTATTTGATTGAAAAGTTTTCATTCGTTCATTTCCCATGCAAGGATGTGAAAACTGGAGATTGAACGTAGAACTATGTGCACCATAAACCATAAACAAAGTATTATTGAACCTGTATACTGTGGGTAGCTGTTTTATGGATCTATTGTTCACGGATTTTTTTATCAAAGAATATCATGTTGACGCACAAATATTATAAGAATCTAAAGTGTTAATCATCAGATAATGTAATTTACTGTAGTGAAAATTTTTAAAAGAGTGAAAGTAATGAGTATGTTTAATCCATGGTTGAGTACATTAAGATCATTTTCAATCAAAAAAGGTAAAATAATCTAAATAAATTGCAGACTGGATTAACTTTCGTGTTTTGTGGTAAGGTTGTTGATAGTTGTTGTCAATGCGCAGCTCCTTTACATTCAAAAAGTTGACACAAGATTCCGATCGATTCAAATCTCTAAAGAATATTATAATAACAACGTTATTAAACATTTTGAAGTAGAAGTTCACGATTGAGGGTTGATTCATGGTGATTTGAATTTAAAATTCGGCTTTTCCTCGATGGATTTTTTTGTGAGTTTTTATTGTTTAAGAAAAAAAAATATCCTTCACTCACAAAAAACCCATTGAGGAAAAGCAGAATTTTAAATTCAAATCACTACGTCATTAAACATATTTTCATTAATAAGAATCCAATAAAATCATTGATTTTTTTTCAATTTCATTTAATCCTAATACAAAATTTATAAACATCACACTTTATGTTCAACGTTGGCAATGCACGCAAGATCAAGCAAAATAAATGTTTTAATAATACATGCACAATTTTATTGTTTCATTTCGCAGTCGGTCTCCTCATTTATTAGTTTTCTGCCAAATTTTTAAATAAAATTACCGCTGCTGTTTGTTCTCATTTTGTCCCCTCACTTAGCTTGTGTTTACGTTTTGGGTTTTGAATACAAAAGAAGGATGTGGTTCAAATTTGTCGAGTTTTTCGGACAGGAAGTGTAATTTTCTGTCGCCACTCTCGCAACAAAGACTCACAAATTCAACTCCGCCAAACAAATTGCGGATACGATGAGCGCACCTCTGTAAATTTCACTTCCACATTATGCATAGTGGGGTGTTGGTAAAACCAAAAACTTTAATGGCGGTGATAGATAGCACTGCCCATGTGAGGTTTATCCATTCAAAAGCAATTCGAGCGAATCGTGACAACACCCAAGAGATGAGTTCACTTGGCATTGGGAAGAGTATAAAAAATGAGCCACATGAGTATATGGATGAAGCAAATTTTACCTTATAAATTTTTAGAGACGGGAAAGAATTTTGTGTTATTTCACGGCTGTGTAAACTCGAATAATTAATTGCTGGTGATTTATCTTAGAGAATCAAAGCAATCATCGATGCCTATTTTACCACAAGAAGTTTCCTTCTACTCTTTTCTTCGAAAATGAGAAAAACAAACTAACCACATCAATTTTAGAAGTTTATTCTAAAGTTAATAATTATATTGCGTAGCGTACTTTGGGGTGCATAGCAATACATTATAATTAATTGCAACAAAATTGAAATTCAAAATAATATATATCTTTTTAGTTTTTTGTTAAAATATTTTTTAAAAGTATTTATAATTTTTCTTTTTTTTATAAATTTAACAAACATATTTTTAAATAATTTATTAAAGCGTAAATTTTATACCAATAAAAAAATATTTGTTAAAAAAATACAATGACTGATGACATAGGTAAAAAAAATAAAATAAGTAATTATATGAGTGCAATTGAATCTCATATTATTATGAGTATGAGAAATTCTAATTCGATTCTGGTGGGTGACAGTTCAAATATAAATTATTTTTAAATGCAAACATGGCTAAATAGCAAATTAAGTGCAAACGTGCAAAAAGTTGAATTCAAAAAAATTGTTAGAAATATAAATGTGAGAAGTATTAAAAAATAATGCCCATCAATATTTTTAATTTTTTGGCTCTCGCTTCTCACCAACCTTGCTCGTCTTGGAAAGCAAAAGCAGCAAATCTAACCTCAAAATTGGCCCTAATTTGATCTCCTGATCGCGTCGCTTGCAGGCATTCGATTTCCCAGAGCAAAACAAAAGCTCGCTGGCTCCATAAACCGCGCGCGCGTTCGGCGGCTCTTTTTCTGTTTGAGGAAATAAAAAAAACACGTCCCAATTAAGCCGGCGCATCTCTAAAGATGCTGAATGGTCGGTTGCAGTTCAGTTTGCAGTCGGCAATCGGCGCGCACAATAAAACCATTACGGCTCGATCTCCGCGCAGAGTTTTAATGAGAGCGAAAAAGAGATGGAAAACAGTTTTGGTGGATGGCAGGGCCGCGCTTCTGTAGAAGGCAAGGGTTTTTACAACCCGCCCTGGGCTGGTCTGGCGCCATTGTTTTATTGCTCTCAGACAAACCGAGACAGATACATCAGCTCAAAAACAAAAGCCGAAACATTTTTTATTCAAAGAATAAATGCTGCTGATTTTATTGCGTGGATTATTGTGCGCGTTTGTGTAAACGTGTTATTTGATGCGAATTGCTTTAATTTCATCTCATGATTCCAATCGCTCTCCTCAACACTCATGTGTAGTGGTTTTCCTAATCATTCTCGGAATTACCAAAAAGCCGTGATTTTTTGCTTGGATTTTTTCGTTTTACTTGAAATCAGAAAAAGACAAAGGTCTTATCTAACCGATGATGCTCTTTATGTCGCATAACAAAAATTCTCCTGTATCGAGAAATTTGGGTTAATTCAGAGGCTTGAAAAATCGTGATACATTTTGCCACCGCTCAAAGTTATGCAACCTGCTCAACTTCGCCATCAAGCAGGCTGCATTTTGCATTATTATTGCATTAACTGTAAAATATATTGCATAATCTATAATTTTGTTAACTCATAATCCTGAAACCCAATGATATGAAAATGAAATAGTAATACTGAGAAAATTGATCATTAAAGTAGCTATCTTGAAAATAAAGATTGTTTATTTTAATCAATAAAAGTTTCTATAAATTCTTCCCACTTTTAAAGTTTCAGCAGTCCACAGGTCATCTTTTGGTTGTCCTTTTATTATTATTTTTTTTCTTTCTTTATTTTATACGGTCGTGTATTCTAAATCCACTTTTGCTATACAGAAATAATATAATTTAAATAGAATAAGAGTGACTCTAGTTCTGTTTCCTCGTTTTTTTATAATTATGCCACCAATTTACAGCAGTAGCAGTTGGCTGATGAGTGTTTGCTGCTTTGCAAACAGCAGCCGAAACAAACACATATAATAAAATAAGCGCTGCTGCACCTTGAGCAGAAGCCGCCGGAAAATAAAACTGAAACTCGGCAACTGTTGCATCTTTCCGTGCGGGAGTCGTAAAAAGAACAAAAAAGCGCACGAAAGCTGCAGTCAAAGAGCAGTAAATCGCATTCGCGAAATCAGCATGAATGCACCGCTGCACGAGTTTCCATAATACCTGGTTTATTACGGCAAGCACTACTTTTATGTGTATCAAACGAACGGCCCCGCGATTTCATGCATACTCATTGTTTTATGGCCAGGCTGTAAATTCTGTGGGAAACGGCGGCATGATTCATTTCACAGTCCAAAGTGCGCGAAATTTTCAAGGCGAACACGACTTCTCAGAAAATAGCGCTGTTTTCCTGCAAAACTCGCGCCTTCAAAATTGTTTTATGAATTATTTCAGAGGCGCTGCAGCGCTAGAAGCATGACGATTAACGGAGCGCGTGATCGCTGCAGATGAAAAGTTTGAATAGTTATTTTTGCTTCTTTATTTTGCTTATTTTCTAACAAATAAGTTGTAGACTGTGGAAAACATATACACGTGACTGCAAAAACACAGCAGTAACAATTTTCCAGCCGGAAAGTTTTTCACGTTTGGGATTTAATTGTTCTCGGAGA